TTTAGGGATCAGGTGAGCCTGGCACAGAGCCTGGCACAGGGCATGGTCCTGCTGAGCTGAGCACCCCCAGGCATCGACCCAGTGGTGTGCTCAGCACATGGCCATTCCCATTCCATTCCCATTCCATTTCCATTCCATTTCCATTTCCATTTCCATTTCCATTTCCATTTCCATTTCCATTTCCAGTCCCATTCCAGTCCCATTTCCATTTCCATTCAATTTCCATTCCCATTTCCATTCCATTTCTATTCCCATTCCCATTCCCATTCCCATTCCCATTCCCATTCCCATTCCCATTCCCATTCCCATTTTATTCCCATTTCCATTCCCATTCCCATTTCCATTTCCATTTCCATTCCATTTCCATTTCCAATTCCATTTCCATTCCATTTCCATTTCTATTCCCATTCCATTCCCATTCCCATTCCCATTCCCATTCCATTCCCATTTCCATGTGCAAACAGCTGTGGTTCTGGTAGGGTTTGTGCAGCTGTGCTAAATCCACCCAACAGCTCTCAGTGTGGCAGAATTTCTGCAGACACCTGGCTGAAATAAACTAAATTAAACTAAATGAAAAAGGAAAAACCAAGCCATGCCCTTAGTCTCCCCCAATATGAAATCCTGTCCTACAACTTTAGTACGAGAAATAAATCCTTATGTCTCATTTTCGCACCTGCAGATATTGAATATATTTTAATTTTCCCTTGTGTCACAGGAAAGTTCCTTTTTCATTGGATGATTGATTTGGGGCTGGAAATACATCAGAGCAGAGATGCAGTGGTGAACTGGACTAAGCATATACCAAAAGAATATACCAAAATGCACTGCAGCAGCACATGCTTTTCTGCTCTATTTTGTTCCTCCTGTACTTTGGGAATGAACAAGACTTGGAGACTTTATTTTCCTGGGGAGTCATTACCTTTCTCCTGGTGATCCTGCTCTGCATTGGAGTGTTGATGTGGATGTACATGTTACCCTATTTCTGATCCCCTGTTGACCAATGAAATATAATATTTGAGTTTTTTTCTGAAGGAGAATAAACCATGATGGAACTAGAAATAATGTGGTTAGAAATCCATCTTCCCTTTGAAAATCCCCAAAAATTCAGACAAAAGGTCATCAGCCACAGACAAGTGTTAATTGCCAAAATATGGGAGTACTTTTTGTCATTTTTTGCCAGTTCTTGGAGTATAGCTGATTTTCATTCTCAATGGCATTCAGATGGAATGACCATGTATGAAATATAAATAATCTCCTTCCCTCAGAGTAACCTCCCTTTTGGGGATTTCATTCTTCAGATCCTTTTTTCCATGATGCCCATCCTTGGATGATTGCCACAGGCCTGGTCCTGGCTGCTGTGGCCACTTTCCTTTATATCACTGTTTATCTATTTAAAATTTATATCGCTGTTTATCTATTTAAAATGAAAGGTGCCACCCTGGAGCAGGATGGGGAAGGAGCTGGGCTGTCCCACTGAGCCACCTCTGGTCCCAGCTGATGCACAGTGTTGAGAAACACTCAGACAGAACCAGGGTCTTGTCCTGATGCCTGGGGCATACGTTTGGTGCCAGGGAATTTAAAGACCCAGGGACTTTAACTTCTGTCAGGAAAAGAAAGGTTTCTTCTCTAGCAAAAGGGCAAGGAATGAAGTCGGCATTAAAGCCACATAATCCACTCCTCTGCCCCAGCATGGAAATCAGCAATAATTCACCTTGCTCTGCAAAGAAACTCTGACACTCTTGGGTGGCCTGGCAAGGTCTCTTTTCCTTCTAACTCTGATGGGAGGTGATACAGAGGATTGAAGGAAACTGAACTCCTCTCTTTCTTAGGGGAGATGAGGCTGGTGGGTCATGTGGACACTGAGGCACATCCAGACCCCGCGGCCCTTCTGTCATGTGGGTGATCGTAACCTGCTGGGGGTTAATCAGTGCTTGTTGGAAGGGATGATTTTCAAAATTATTAGCATTTCTTTCTTTTCTTCATGGGAGACCATCAGAAAAAGATAAGTTTTACTTTCCATTTTCCAGAAATTGGAGTATTCTTCAAATTGAAGAACTCATGGGTTGCTTTTACGGGGGACATTTGGGATGGAAATGGTTTGGATACAGACAATTATGCAATTAATTTGAATGAATTGATTTTGTAATTTTAAGAACAATCATTGCAGAACCACAGAAAGTGTGAACAGCTGTTCCCTCAGTGAGCTTTGCTTTTCAAAGTGCTCTCAAGGTTTTTCCTTCCCAAGGCCAGAGGAAGCTTTGGGGCAGTGCATTTGGTTTTTCAGGGGCCTCAGATTTCTCAGCACTGCAGAGCTCAGGCACAGGGCAGTTATCTACCTCTGCAGGTGGCATTTAACCCTGTGCCTCCCTTGCTGAGGCAGACCTGCCCCTTCAACTGCCCTGGAACTGGAGCCCAAGATCAGGTCTCCAGCAGGGTGGTGCTGATCTCTGCATGTGGTGGGGTTCAGGAGAGTGGGCGAGATCCCCAAAGTCTTGAGAGGAAAGGCCTTGAGGAGTTCCTGGGTTGCAGCTTTTGGCTCATGAGCAATTTCAGCCTTCTCCCTCTCTGGAAAAATGCACCGGCTTGGTGGTGATGCTCTGGTCTGGTTTTGTTTTCCAGGAACACAAGCAGCAGGACTGTGTAAGTCTCATTCCCTGTCTCCTTGGTGAAATCCTCAGTGAAAAATTCCAGGCTTTTTCATTCATACTCCCATTCTGTCCAAATGTTCCTTTTAGGCAGATATTTTCCTTTGCTGTTCTCTGACTGTTGCATCCCAAGAGTTGCTGTGGTCCAGAGGAGACACCCCTTTAAAAACTTGGAGGCATGCTCTCCCACAATTCTTTGTAGTATGTTAATGTACACAGCTACGTCATCTTTTTTCCACACCCCAGTTCTAGAATGTTCTCAATTTCTGGTTCCCCTATTGGTTCCCGTTTCTAGTCACTCCTCCCCTAGATCCCAGTTGTTGTTACCCCTCGTTCCCTCCTCCTCCAGTTCTTTGTCCCTGGTTCCCTCCTGGGTGAGGCCAATAAACTCCACAGGAACACCACAAAAAGAACCCATCCAGTCATTACTTGTCAGCCCTCAAGACCATGGTGGTGTGTGAGTGTCTGGTGCTCAGGGCTGTCCCTGTCCCTGGACACAAAACTCTCAGGAAGGCAACAGCCCCAGCAGCTCCTGCTGTGCCGCCACATCTGGCCTTGTAATCATGGGAAAATTCACCCCAAACAGTCATCAGACTTATCCCCTGGGTAGCTGTCAATGCTTTCTGACATGCCTTCAATTTAAGTATTGAAATTCTGAACTGTTTTTTTTTTAAGGGAAGATTACAGAAACCTGAACTTTAAAGAAATTTCCTATACAAATACAGATTGTTTGATCAGTAAGAAATTTTAAAAAACCAAACTTGCTTGAAGAGCAAGCAAGTTTGCTTGTTTGTTTACTTGTTTGCAGAACTCCCAAGGAATAGTGCTTTGGCTATTAAAAATTAACTGGTGGTAAATTGGTGCCAGTGAAGTTGGGAAAAAATGATGGGGGGGAAACTAAATACAGGTCATCTGTCCTTGCAGTTGGAGCACAAGACAGTGCATCTGCCTCCTCCATCAGCCTATCCTGAGCTGTGCAGTCTTTTAGAGGGGCGGGGGTCCCAGGGAAGGGGCTGTGCCACACAGTCACTCATGTGTGTTAATGTTCCTTGTTCAGGGACTGCAGTGCAGAAATCAGTGAGTCTCCTCCTCTTCCTTACAAAGAATTATTTACAGAGTCTCTGTAGGGTGGTGGGTTTGGTTGAGTTTTTTCACTTTTAGAGAGTAAAGTGGGGTTGGGGGGAAGGAGAATGAATTTGAGAATCGAGAATCAGAGATGACTGCAGATGATGTCTGGGGCTGGGAATGGGTAGTGACAGTGGTGGTGCCAGCAGGCTGGGAGTTTCCTGGTCTGTCACATTGCATATTGCAGCTACTCTAAAGCTGCAATCTAAAACTCAACCAGGCAGGTATCTGGGTGAGTGATGATAGGATGGATTTGAACAAATACAAAGAATCACAGCCAATCTATTGGACCCTAAGTGCAGATGTATCATTGGCCAAGGAAATGAGTGACTGGGACCGTAAACAATCACGTGTATGCCTGAGAATTAAAAACTCTCTATTTAAGGAGAGGCCACAAGAATAAAGTGCTTTTGTCCTTTGTTACATGAATCACAGAGTGTGGCGTGGTCTGTCTCTGATCCAGCACCACTCAACGCTCCACTGGTCCCCTTGGAAGCGAGGGACCTCTGAAAGAACATTACCCACCCCAGATTTGCACAGGACAAACTGCACCATCCCTGGCAGAGCAGAGCTCCAGGCTGGGGGTGGGACAGCGCTTTGGACAGCTGAGCTGTGGCAGAAACCCACCCTGGGGCACATGCAGGTGGTTCAGGAGAGGGCACACAGGGTATATCCAAATCAATATCCCACAACCCCCCTGTGCTGGTTCACCTTTTGCAGAGAAGCAAGCCAAAGAACTTGGTATCATTCCCTTTCCCATGTGGGAGACTTCTCAGCTGGACCTTTGTCTCATCCGAGTTTTGCATGTGTGCCCTGGTTTTGGTTTTCCTTTTGAGAAAGGAAGAGGTAGCAAATACAGAACTTGTTTCAGAAACGTTGTTTTCCATTGGTCTCTGTGTGGCTTTATGCTATTCCCTGTAATTATTCTATACCGAGAAGAAAATTCAGTTTTCAAACTACAAACTGACCATAAATGTATGTTCAAATCAGGACCAGAAACATGGTTGTATTTGTAGAAAATGGATGGAGCCCTTTCATGTAGTCAGACACTGAAGTTTTGAAGCAATACACTGTGAGATGACTTTCACAAAGAAAACTGCTCAGAAAATGAGCAGCAACACTGGAATATCATTACTCTGAGCTAATCCAGTACAAGTGTGTTTGATTATCTCTCACCTGTGGATTGTTTTTGTTGGTTTTTTGTTTCTGTGTTTGTTTGTTTTTTTAAAGCATGGAGAAGATATGCAGTGCTTGTAGAAGAAGGTAATTCCAGTTTGGTTTTTCAGGGTGCTGAATCATTTTCCGTGCTTTATTCTCCCTTCCTGGCAGTTCCCCTGCTGCAGTGTTGCTGGAGAGACCAGGGGTGGTTCTGCCAACCCTTCCTTTAGCAGAGGAAGTGTAACACCCAGCTCTTTGTTCATTTGGTGCATGCCCCAGTTTCAGGCAAATCTGCAAAGTCCTGGTCCTCGGTGAGCTGTGTCCTCACATTTCACACGCCTGGGGTCTTCTGCCTGAAGGTCTGCTGACAATCCTCTTATCCCTCTGCTTCTTTTTCTGCTCCTTGCACCAACGTTGTGACCTTGTGCACCTTCCCCTGCCACAGTCTGCTCCCACCCTGCTACTTCCTTAGGCAGCCCCAGCCAAGAGCTCCCCTGGGGTTAGCTCTGCCCTGATGTGTTGGTTCCATCTCACTTGCAGTGAATGTGATTCTGGATCCAGACACAGCCCACTGGGACCTTGCCCTGTCTGATGATGGCAAAGGTGTGAAATGAGGTGACACACAACAGGACATCCCTGACCTCCCTGAGAGATTTAACCCATGCTGCTGCATGCTGGGCTGTGATGGTTCCACCTTCAGGGAGACATTACTGGGAGGTGCAGGTGATGGTTGCAGGAGGATGGGTCATGGGGGGGGTCTCTACAGAAGATGTGGAAAAGACAGATGATACTGAATTTAAGCCAGAGAAAGGCAGATGGACAGTGGGGCTATTAGCAGCTACTTCCTAGCTCTCACCTCTCCTGATCACACTCTCCTTCCTGAAATCAGTACCCCCAAACAGGTCTGGATCTGTCTGGATTATGAAGAGGGATGGGTGGCATTTTTCAGTGCTGATGAGGGTATTTCCATCTTCACATTTCCATTGGTATTGTCTGAGAGGAAAAAAAATCAACTTTTGGTTTTATCTGGGTCCTGGGACATCTCAAAGTATGACTGTGGTGAATGCGAGGGAGTAAGAGAAGGCTTTTCTAGGAAAACTTGGTAGTTCATACTCACAGAAGGACTGAGGTTAGAAAGAACCTGTGGAGGTTTCTGTGGCAACCAGGTGCTCAGAGCTGGGCTAACCTGAGGGCTGCCTTTGGACCTTGTTCAGCTGAGCTGTGTAGGGTTTCCCAGGGTAGAGATCTCATTACATCTCTGCACTTCTGGCCAATGCTGCATCTCTCTCAAGGGTCTGAACCAACCCTTTCTCTTTGGTCAGAATTTCTCCAGTTGCAACTCATGTTGTCAACTCTCCTCCTTGTTCTGTTGAACACAACTTCTACTGAAAAGTTGTACCATGAACAGGGATTTTTAAAAAATGTACACCATAAAATTACTTTGGTGTCATTTGTCTGTATGTATGTCAGCATCAAGGCTGTCTCTGAGTAATGTCTCCTGCTCCTTTCAGCCTGTGGGATTTGCAGGCACTTAAGAGAAAATGGCTCACTGCATCCTGCTGGAGCCAATGAAGTGGTGTCAGTGGAGCAGGTCTGTTGGGTAAGGAAAGGGTTACAGAAAGAGCAGCAGCAGCAACATCATGTGTTAAACTACACCAGCTGAACAAGAAACCGCTGCAACCAGAACATGAAGAAATCTGAAACAAAACGGTTTTTCTGCTCTACTGACTTGTGACTTTGGAAAGAATAATCAGATGTCAAGAAGACAGATTTATTGTAGAACTGTGATTAGTTTTAAGCTTGCAGTTAAAAATAGCTTTTGGACTAAGGATATAAATTCAGTGAGCTTTGCAAATAAAGGAAATTCACTTGCACCTAGCTTGTGTCTCTTGCCTTCATACGTCACAAAAGTCCATGACTGTGCTTGTCCCCACACCTGCCAGCAGCACAAACCCTGGGGACGAGTTCACCTGTGACCTACTGATATCCCACACTGTGAGATGGGCATCTCTAGATTATTTTGCTGTAGGGGAACTTACCCCCTGCAAGGGGAGGAGAGCAGTGTGTACTTTCTCAGACGTGCTTTCACAACAGATCCTCCAGTCAACCAGTGTCTAGCAGGCATGGACCTTCCCAAGGGAAGGCTTCACCCAGATACAGCTGGAAAGGAAGGAGATTTCAGTACAGGCGGTGAGTTGCCCAGACCTTTCTCCTGGAGAAAAGGTAAATACCTTCATAAGGTGTGCACAGGTTTGCTGATCTGTTATGCCAGGAACAGGAAACAGTTAAAAGGCTGTGCAGTATTAGAGGAGCTGAGATGGAGGCAGACAGGTGGTTTCAGAACCATGTTCCTCTGGCAGGCGCTGAGGATGAGGCACCTCAGAGCTGATGACCCACAAAAGCAGGGCTGTGCTTCAGTCTCCACCCTCCAGCATCAAACCAGACCCAGAACTGGTACTTTAACAGTTCTAGACACCCATGAGCAAGGTCTGCAAGGAGAAACTACCAGAAGCACACAGGGGACATTGTAAAAGAAATTATGAGCGCTCGCAGTGGGTGACTCTGTTAAGGGACCATGAGGCCTTCAGCAGAGAGCCATGTCAGGTAAGCCCACCTTTTGGCAGCTGAGGTCTGAGATATTGTTGAGAGGGTGCCACAGCCTTTCAAGAGTACAGACTGCTCTCCACTGCTGCTCTTTCATGTGGCACAAATGTTACAAAAGCCAGAACCTGGGCAAAATCAAGAAAGATTACAAAGCCCTGCAGGTCCAAGTGAAAAATATTGGTGCCCGAGTAATCTTTTCCTTTGTTTTACCCATAAGAGGAAAGGGGATAGCCAGGAATAGATGTATAATGCAAATTAATTTCTGGCTTTTGTGGCTGGTACCATCATGGGGGTTTGACTTTTATTATAAAAGGATGTTCTTCGATGACTACAACCTAGGGATGGGATGGGATGGGATGGGATGGGATGGGATGGGATGGGATGGGATGGGATGGGATGGGATGGGATCCACATGTCTAGAAGAGATCAAGGAACCTGAAAGCAGGCTGGATACCTTGGACAGTTGGGCTTTAAACTGGAGGACTTGGGGGCACTTCTACCATCAAGCCCAGGAATAAGCCAGGACTCCCAGATCAGTGGCAAATGCTCCTTTGTGGCCGGCCAAGATGAGAGCAGAAGGCCAGCCCTGTCAGGGGTGTGTATGTCTGGGGTGTATCCTCTTGGACCCCTCCTGGGAGGGTTGCCTGCTCCATTACCTCTGAACTGCCTGCAGACTAACACACACAGGGTGGGGAACAAACGGGAAGGATTAGAGAGCTGTGTGTGCTCACAGGGCCATGGTCCCACTGCAGTTACAGAGATATGGTGGGATAGTTTGCATGACTGGAATGCTGGCGTGGATGGCTACATACTAAGAAAGATGGGTCAGTAAGGCGAGGTGGTGGAGCTGCTCTTTACGTGAGAGAGCAACTAGAATGGATCAATGGATCAAGGCAAGAGTTTATGGGTAAGCATTTAGGGACTGGCTATCATAGCCAACAGGACTCAGGCAGTGACTGTCCCCCTGTGCTGGGCACTGCTGAGGCCTCACCTCACATCCTGGGGTCAGTTTTGGGCCCCTCATGACAAAAAGGACTTTGAGGTGCTGGAGCATGTCCAGAGAAGGGAACAGAGCACAAGTCTGATGAGAAGTAGCTGAGGAATCTCGAGGGACTCAGCCTGGAGAAAGGAGTCTTACAGAGGACCTTCTGGGTTCCATGAGGGGTGGTTCATCTCATTGCAGCCTCACTTTTTGCAGCACCAGGAGACCCCAGATGAGATGGTGACAAAGAGGGGAAATATGGAGAAATACCCCAATGCTCCTGACAATGGAGACAGGACAGGAAAGATATAAAGGAGTATCTCTTCATCAAAGGTTGGGCTGCTGAGGAGGTACCTCATCCTTGTACCCATGGCCTTAATAGCAATAACTTTGGTGGATGGAAGAACAGACCAGGAGCTTAGAAGTAAATAATTGTTTAAATTAGGAAACACCTTTAAGATCACCAAGTCCACAAGTCCAAATGTTAACCCAGCACTGTCCAGACCACCACTAAACCAGGTCCCCAAGTGGCACATCTACACATCTTTTAAATCCCTCCAGAGATGGTGACTTCACCACTGCCCTGGGCAGCCTGTGCCAGTGCTCAATGCCTTTCAATTCTTTTGGCTGAAGAACAATTAGTGTAGGAGATGAGGCTTTCCCTGAGAATACCCCCTGCCTGATCAGGGGTCTCTACTGTCAGGTAACCTTGCTCTGGCTAAGGCATCTGCACTGCAGTGGATGGCAGGAAGGAGCCTGAATCGCCTCTCCCAAGGTGTTTCTGGTGGCACTTTCTTCTCCCTCCCTGCCTGTGTCTCTGCTGCCTGGAGATGTCTCTGCCAGGAGCTGTTTCTGGTTCCTACAACTTCTTCCTGTCAGTGTTCACAGACCCTTTCCTACCTGCCGAGTGCTCAGCACTGCCCTGCAAAGACCTCGTGGCAGCAGCACCCAGGGACCGGTGTGTGTGGGGCCTGAGGAGCAGCACAGCCAAGTCCTAATGAGAGTTGGGGGCTTGGTGCCTTCTCCAAAATGCAGTCTGCCAACTCTGGGAGCCAAGAGGTGAAAACACAATGCACAGACTCCTTCCCTTTCATTCAACTCCTGCTTCAATATTCTTCTTCAAAACTGCCATCAGAAATGTCCGGAGGATGATGTGGAGCTGTGAACAGCCCTGGCCCATGTAGCACGCTCTCAGCTGAAACAGGACTGTCCTTCCACCCCGAGCTTCTCCCTAAAGTGCTGGGCTGGCTAAACTCTGACCCTGGCAGGCAGCAGAGTTCCTGCCCTGGCACACAGACCCTGCTCAGGACAGCCCTGGGCACCCCTGGGTGCACATCTGGACTCACACCCTGCCAGCCCAAGGTGCCACACTCTCTTCCCCTTTTGGCCTCCTTGGAGATGTCCCAGGGCTCCAGGTCTGACAGCTCCTGAAGGGTAGAGTCACCCTCAAGAAATCATCTTTTGGCTGACTGAAATAATCACCAATCATCCCTCTCTTAAGGGAGGAGAGAGACTGATTCCGAAAGCAGGTTTGTCTTACCAGAGATGGATGTCTGCAGAAGGTGTAAGTATTTCCCTCTGGTCTCTGGTATTCTTGACCCATAACAAAACAAGGACACACAGGCAGTGACAGGGAGGTGTTGGTTTAATCCTGTGGAGGGCAGGGACTCAGCTGAAGCAATGCAGGCATCTCTTCTGCAGCTGAAAGCCCTGGGGATGATGCAGGATTCAGTTTCCCCCATGTAACTCAGAGACTCACGGTGTTGAGGGATGTCAAGACTAGCCACAACTTCCATCCACTGCAGCCCAGGACCTCTCCTGCTGTGCTGCTGTAGTTCAGTACAATACAGTTCTCTCTGGCTGCTGGAACCCAGCCTGGTGCATTGTCCTGGGCTGGCAGAGGGAGGAGGTCACTAGTGTAGGCACATATGTGACACTCTACAGTCACAAGCACACACGTGTATGGATTCCCTGAGTTCTGACACAATCTACTCTCTAGCCCTGGTCCCCCTGCCGAGAATGAATCTTGTCCTTTCCATTCATACATACACGTGACAGGGAGGTGACACAGACAGATCATTAAGCAAACATTTAACAAGAAGATATAAGAGGACTGGACATCCCCTGCATCCTCTAATCATTAGCCTCTGGAGAGACCATCAGTCGGTCTTCATCAGATGTGGTGCCATCAGATGTCCATCACTGCAACTTCTTCAACAAGATTGGATGGGACAAATCCTCTTGTGCCATCATGCAGTTCTGCCACATACCAGCCATCTTCAGCTGTGTCTCTGAAGATGTAAACAGATTGTCCAGAAATGAGACAGTTCAGGCCACTCATTGGGACCATCAAAAGGATCATAGCTGTATTGAGCTCCGAATGCTCAAATCTCTGCTGGTTGCTTTCTCATAGCCTTCAGGACGATAGATTCCTTATCTGCTTCCAGGTTAGCCTGCTGCAGCCTGGAAATGATGGAGTTGGATCTTTCTC